AAATGTTTTGTTTTTTATCAGAAGTCAAATAACTCCTCATATGAGACTTCGATACTTCTTGTCAGATTGATTATTGGAAAAATAGACTTGGGAATCAGCTGGAAAAGAGCATGACTTTAACTCTTAATGCCATCTTATCCTTTTTAAAAACATGGTCACCAGCTATTCCCACCCTGACTTAACATAGGCAGAGGCTCAGCTACCCAAGTGAGCTGAAGCAAGGATGGCAGGGATAGGCAGCTGGAGTAAGAACATTAGTGCCTCTTGGGCTGTGTCTACCCAGAAGAGAAGAGAACATGGCATGGGAAAGAATGATGTTTAAAAAATCTTTAAATAAAAGGAGTCTGGGTAGGATATAGGAAGGAGAGAGACAAGTTGCGAGAGAGTAATTAACTAAAGGAATTTTACTATTTTGAAATATGGAACGTACTTTTGAGGCCTGCCATACTATGCTCTTTATTTAATTCATCAAGTCCTATCTTCTCTTATAAATACCTCTTAAATCTGTTCATTTCTTTTTCACCACATCTACAATCACAAAATCCATTCTACCAACATACCATCTCTCTTGCCTGGATGGCTACTGAAGCCTTGCGGCTAGCTTTCCTGCTTCAATTCCTACTGCCCTACAATCTGGTATTTGCTGCAACTGCCTTGTCCAGGTTCTCAAGAGCCAATTGTGTGCATCACTTTCCAACTCCACCTTCAGGAACATTGGTAGCTTGAAATTGGCCATGGTGGCAATAATTACACCACAGAAATGGGAATGTGCTATAAATCAGGAATTGTTCAAATATATTTTCCAGATAGCTAATTGTAAATATTTACTGGCATACCACTGCCTAAAATTCACTCTCTGTATAGCTGCAAAAGTGATATTTTTAAAAACATAAAAAAATTACATCACATCATTCTCCTGAAAGTCTACATACAGTGAGATTTTGTAAAATCCAAATTACTTCCTGGATCCTCTCGACATGAGGTATTCTGACCTCTATACCATCTCACTCATTATAATCAGTCACCACCCTTGTCTGCTTTCCATCCCTCCAACATACCAAGTTCATGGTCTTAGCATGCTAGGGCTGCTCTTCTGGATCTTTGTGTAACAGAGTCATTCTTGTCATTCAAGTCTCAATTACCTTTACAGGGAGGTTTTTGTCACCACCTATCATATGTGTTTGTAATATTATGTTATTTTCTGTTATTTTATTTCTTTTCTTTTTATTTCCTCTATTATAATATACTAGGGGCCCGGTGCACAAAAATTTGTGCACTCGGGGGGGGGGGAGGGGGGGTCCCTCAGCCCGGCCTGTGCCCTCTCGCAGTCTGGGACCCCTCGGGGGATAACGACCTGCTGGCTTAGGCCTGCTCGCGGGTGGCAGAGGGCAGGCCCAATCCCTAGGTGCAGCCCCTGGTCAGGCTCAGAGCAGGGCTGATTGGGGAGTTGGGGCGCCGCCCCCTGTCATGCACAGAGCA